ATGGGTGGGAACCTGACTTCTGAAGCGTGCCTTGCTGTAAGTTGCGAAATTTTCTCCTGTCATGACGATGCAAGGTTTCTTTTCCTTTGGGTAAAGCCAACACAAAGAACCTGTGATTCTGCATGTCTCAACGTTTAGAAGCTTTTTTTTTTAATAATGAAAAAGAAACAAACAAAACAACAACTCCAGCTCTTAGTTGAAGTGAAGTTGAGCTAGATTGAGTTCTGGTTTCTCTGCCCTATTGTAATAATCTTGAGTGAGGTCTTATTTTCCTGATTAACTCTGTGAGGTTCCATGTTTGACAAGATGAGTGGTTCAATGTTGAGTCTCTGGAATCAGATTGTCTGGGATCCGATCGCATCATTCATTGTCTTACCAGCTGGATGAACTTGGGTGAGTCGACTAATTTTTAACTTCAGTTTCTTTGCTACGCAAACAGCACAGGAGTTATAATAGTATCTGTTTTATAGGATTCTTGTGTGGATTAAATGAGATAAATTATATGAAGCATTTGCCTAAACATCTTAGCTACCACTCATGTTGTTGCTATTGACTCATGTTTGTTGGAAACGGGAAAGCACACATTTTTCTATGTTGTAATTCTTATGATTTGGTTGAATAGTCTTTAAATCACAAACTTTTTAGATACAGGAAGTGACCATTTTATTTATACACAGATTTGGGTGCAATTCATAACAGAAATTCCATTTTTCCTGCTTGCACACAAATGTTGATTTTCTTTTTGCTTCCTCAGTGACATTGCTTTTAAGATGGCCCTCAAGTTTTCCATCGACAATGTTGGAATACAGACAGCATGGGCAGCAACTGTCCAAACAAGTCATATTATGGAGTTTGGGGATGTTGGACTCTTTTATGGGGTTGCCAATCAAATGTAGCCCAGAGAACAGTCATGGCATTCTAATCCGAATTGGTTAATCAATTCATTTAACAAATCTCAACTCTTCTACAAACTCAGGTTGTCACCCATGAAGAAAAGGTGTCCTGAGAGACAAACTGTCAGAGGAAGAAGAGGCTGCAGGCTTCCCTGGTCCCCATGAGTCTGAGGTCCCCTAAGGACAGTGGTTCTCCCATTGATTCTCCAGGTGGTCTTCTCATGCAACACAAAGAACAGGAAGAACCAATCAGGAATTTTTTAGTTTCTAGGCTACATCTTGCACAAAAAATATGGCCCCTTTTAGTCTCCAAAGAGCTTTCAGCAAAGGTGTGAGCCAGATGAGTTGAGCCAGGATATTGGTGGTTAACCTTCTCCCTCAAGGAGTCACATAGGAACTTGGTGGCCTCTTAAAGCTTATGAAAGCATCCTCCAGATCTCTTGATCTCTGACCTCCTCTTTAAGTAACTGCCCCAAACCCTTACGTTCTCTGGTCTGTGTCTAGCTTGCTGCAAGTGGAACCCTATATCAGCCCCATGCCACGAACAGCCTGCTCTGTTCCCTTCTGTGGCTTATGTTCATCAAGTCATTGATTGTGGCCTGGGCTGACAGCCGGGTTCTGGGCTGTGGGCCCAACTGATAGCTTTCCTCCTCTCAGGGCATCAGCTGCCAGGACTCCAGCCTCCCTGGTGTGTCTGTGCCATAGAGGGCTTTGGCCGAGTCAGCCTGGTGGTGTTCGTGCTTGATCATGAGCGCATGTTCACTGTGCTTTACCATCTAAGAAAGTCTGGCTCATGGCTGCACAGAGAACTCAGGTCTGAGCACCTGGCCTGGCCAAGGCTACAGGGACACCATATGGTCTGAGTGCCTCTGCTGAGCCCATCTAGGGAGCTGGTCATAGGACAGTCACTGGCTTTGGATCAAAAATGTGGAAAATCATTCTATACTTTGCAGACAAATACCAGCAATTGATATTTTTCTTCTTGTGTCACTTTTAATTTTAAAGCTGGTTTGTTACTTTTCTGCTAAACCAGAATCATAGCTGGATTCTTATTACTTCCAAATGACCTGTTTGCTTCTTTTGGATGACAGCTTCTAATTATATTTTAGACACAGAGTAAGAAGAACTATATTTTCTGATTTTTGTTTTCAGTTACTATGGAAAAGATGTGAACATGGTCTCACTGACACAGGAAGTGAGCAGAGAAGCCAGCCCTCCCTGGAGTCCACTCAGGGGACAAAGTCAGGAACAATTTTCAGCATTTTAACTAGAAGATGTGTCCAGGGCATTCCTTCTCTACCAGCCTATGGAGCCCCTGGGCAACTCTGCCCCAAGTATTAGCAGCTGACCATGGTGCTGGCGTCATCTTTTCAGACGTCTCTTACTTGCTTCCTGGGCTGACTGTAAGAAAATCCCCAGGTCCTGGCTCGCTGCTCTGTAGCCACTGTGACAGGTGAGCAGAGCACTGTTAGAATGCCTTTGGATGCTGAGAGGCATTTTTGGAGGTGAGCTTTCTTTTAGGGCTCATGGGTTAAAGTGTTCACATTTCAGGTCAGTATTTGAAAAGGAGGAAATGAGCCAGTTGAGGGAGGTTTCATTAGGATGAGGTATTACATGGAAGAAGAAGAAAGAAAAAGGTAAAGGCTAATAAAGAAAAAATAACTCATATTTAATGAACATTGACTCTATGCCAAGAACTCTGTTGGGTGCTGAGCATGTAATATCTCATTTAAAGCTGAGATGTAGGAACTGAATGTGTTCTTATTTAACACAGAAATGTTAAATGACTTGCCAGTGGTCTTCCAGTTGGCAAGTGCCAGAGATGGGATTCCAAGCCCACACTGTTAAACACACAGCACTAAGACCGTACAAATGTTGGTCACTTGACAATCCAGATCTTGCTCAATCATTAATAAGCACATGATCATAAATGTCTAAGATTGGATGAAATTTGGGGGAACAAGGAATCCAACTCCTTTACTAGACAGATGAGAAAAGAGTCTGAAAGTAGGAAAGGATTAATTTTTGGTCAAGAAAACACTTTTATTAGAGCTAAAATGAGACCAACAACTTAGCTTCCTGAATATTGAAGAGTTTGGGAAAACTGGCTCTAGGGTTTCATAGCTGAGGAAATTATTTTCCTGGAAGCAGCTTCCCTTGCCTTTGCCCCTGGGATAGACTTCTATGCAGAACAACATTTCTCAGATTGGTCACATCTGAGATATGTGAATCCTGCCTACTTCTAAGAGAACAGGAAATTAAAAACTTGGGCTTAAGAAGCTGCTGACTTGTTACGCCAGCCTACTGTTCTGAAATTTCTCTTTCTGAGCTCACCAGTGGTTTCATACCTTCTGAATTAAAAAAAAAATTGTTCTGGCCTTAGTTGAATCATAGCACCTGCTATCAGTTGCTACCGGTTTATTCACAGACTCTCTCCTGTGACAGTCCCTCTCCTGATTTCCTTTCATGAACTCTTTTCATTCTTCTTTCCAAGATGTTCCTTTTCTGCCTCTCCATAGATTTCATTGGCCATAGAATTCTGTCCTATTCTTTGGTTATCTTTAAAATAAATCAACTTTCTTTCCAAGTCTACAACAAACAGTGCTCCTGTCTCTCTTCGTTTTGCAATCTTACGGGGCTTCCAGAGTTCCTGGGGACAACTATGTTCAGTGAACGGGAATACAAAACTAAAGTTGGACTTCTACATGCAGAAGCAAGGTCAGGGAATGAGAAGTTAATTCCAGTAGAGTCGTCTGCTAGGATGAAAGCCAAGTACAACCTACCCATCAGGTTTGGGATGAACAGAATTCAGGCGAGACTTGTTCTCAGAAATGTGGGCAAGACATATTGATGAAGTGAAATTTGCTCACTCGTGTTCAGCAGGAATCAGGGGACTTGATATTTAGCTAAGAATGCAATGTGTAACTTTGTGATCTATAATTTGAGCTTAGGATTTAGAAAGGGCTGTGCTCTATTTGGGGTTGGGAGGTATTTTATTGCAAAATCTAGGACTCTCTCATGTCCCCTTGGCTGGTATAGCTTTTGAACGAGTCAGTTGTCTTTTCAAAGCACTTGGACCAACACTGTTGTTTTGTAGTTTTCCCGCATCACACAAAGGGAGTGGATTCTCAATTGTACCTTTCTTTTTAATGACTTTCTAATATTCTTCAAACATCCCAAGATAACCAGGGAAGACACCATAGACACGCCAACCCTTGTTAAAATGAACTGGCCCTCCCCCCTACCCCTAGTGAGTTCTACCATATGGTGGTCTGAGTGGCAGGGGTACACATACAAACAGCAACCAGATCACAGCTTGGCCCGAGACTGCCACGGTTGACTGAATTGATCACTTTGCCCCAGAAACCCAGAGTTGTGGGGTGGGGGTCTCAAAGTGTTCATCTCCACAAAGTCCTCCAAACTCACTTTCTTTCCATTCAACAAAGGAAGAGTTGTTAATTTTCTAAAATATTAACATTCCGGAAAAAATTTAAAATTCAACTAACCATGGAAGCCAGTATTGTTTTTAAGCCATTTTAGGTTCATCTTGAATATGTTAAGAGCAAAATATTGGTGAAGAAAATTAGCTTGTGTGGCTGGCCCACTCCCTGCATAGGCTGCTTCACTTTTTCTGTTTAAATTTCTTTCTGGTGCTGATCTGTTTTCTACGTAGAGGGATGCCCTGTCGGGAGAAATCACCATCTTCCTCTGCCTGGAACTTTGAGGATGAGCAGAGAAGGGGAAGGGCTGCTATGAGTCATTTAGAGCAAACCTGGATTTAGCCCATTCTTTCTCTCCTCCCCTCTCTTTTTTTCCTTCCAGATCTAATAGTTTTAAACGGCTCTAAAGCCAGAAACCTAACAGATCAGAGGTCAGGGAGACATGAGAGGCATCCCAATGAAGGCTCTGATTTTATCCCTGAGGATCACGAACACCACGTAGCGGGACCGCAGCGGGGTCTCCTCAGTCATTCAATCTGCACATAGGAGGCCTAGGCTCTTACTGTGGAAGGATTTCTAGCAAGCCCTCCCTAGGCTGGGTGTTTTGTGTCCTGAAAGTTCTTACCAGCAGCTGAGGGAATCCGATTGCCCTCAGCCAGTTACTCACCGACGAAGAGCTGGCTGTAGAGTTCCAGGCGAGTGTGACCTTCTGTCGGGGCCTTGCGGATCTGCTGGGGCAGCCGATCCACCTGCAGACTGGCCTGCTTCACGTTCCGCTCTGCGGTGACCCTGTGCCACTGGTCGTCATTGAGAGGGGAGGGCGACCGCACCACAATCTCCACGGGCCCATTTCCGACATCAAATGAGAAGGACACTTCGGTGGCAGCTGGAGGAGCAGAAAGCGTGAAAGGTACATCAGTGTATTTTTTTCTCTCCTCCCTGATACCCAAACAGCAGTGGATTCCTGGGGAAAAAGAAAGCAAAGGGAAAAGCGATCTGCTGCTTGCTACAAAGTTCCCCTGCAAAATCATATGAGGAGGGTCTGAACCAGAATCCATTATTGACCAAAAACAACCAAATGAAGCAAAATAAATTTGTTCTGGGGAGGGAGGTGGTCTTTGAGCCAGATACCGATTTGTTTCCTTACTTAATCGTTCCATAAGTCTTCCGAAGAAACCGAGGCCTGGAGAAGTCAGCACACACGGAACGTTTTAAACTGTGTGAGCCCGAGGAGTCAGGATCGGAACCCAGGTCTGTCAGATTTCACAGCCTGCCAGCATTTGACTCCGCCCACAGCTGATCTCCTCCATTGCTCCAGGGTCAGTGATTTGCAGTTAGGGAGAGAGGTTTTGCAACACCTGGATGCACATTCTGACTGAGCTGGTCTGGAGTAGACAGAGATCTTCCAAAAGCTCCCCAGGAAATATTAATATGTAGCTACAGCTGAGAGCTACCGCCTTAGGGAATTCACAAGACTTTCTCATGAATTCTTATAGTTCCTATTGAAAGGGAGGGACCTATGAATTCTTGAGGCCATAAGGGTGAGTTGCATTTAGTTGGGACCACAAAGGGCAGCACCACATTCCTGCCAAAGAATCCTTTTCCTGTCTCCTGTGTTGCAAATCCTGGTTATTCCCCATCTGGGGTGCTGGTTCCTTCCCCTAAGTGACCCAACTGCAAACCTTTGTCCTTTTCAGAAATCTTCTCCAAATCAACCTCTTTCTGTAATAAATCACCTCTCAACAATAAGCAGGCAGCCAGGGTGGTGCTCCATCAGCTTTAGTTAGCAGTGGTTTCCTTATTCACCTTCTCAGTTTTATATTAAGGTCCCAGGTGACCAGCTCTATAAACACATTTTAAAATATATATTTTTCTTGCAATTGGCAGGAGAGGCAGCTTACTGCTAAAGCAGCACACAGGTCTTGAGGCCCCTTAGGCTTGGTAAATTCTTTTCAACATTAAAGATGTGGCACACCAATGCATTTCCTGACTTTGCTTTATAAAGATATTCAGCCTCCCCATCCATCAATAAGCCTTCTGCCTAATCTCTAAGCATTTTAATTAAATATCTGTCATTTTTCTTTTTCCTGGGCTAATGGAAAATTCAGCTTCTTTGGCCTGGTACCATTTGGAGATGGTGTCACAAGCAATCAAACTTCTAATTTAAAAAGCTCAGTGGGCCAGATTCTCTTAGGATCTGTACTGTTCCCTGCCTCTGTGGCCCCTCGGAAAGCTGCATTAACTTTATTGAGCTACCATGCTATTACATATACAGCTCAATTCAATCAACCTAATTGTACCAAGGCATTTGATCCTTCATGTCATTAGAAAGAGAACTTTAATTTTAACACCTGTGGGTGATTCCACACCGTCTCCAGTAAACTATCTCAGCTAAATTAGAAGGCTCTGCCTCTAGGCATCATTGCAACTAGATTGAACTTGCAGGCCAGTGACCTCCATCAAGGTTCCTATGGAAGTATGATCAGGTAGAGGATAACAGGACACCCAGACTGAATGATCTTTCTCTGTAGTTCTGATACAGTTGACGGGGAAATGTAGCCTTGCTTTCAGAGGAAATCTGCTCTTTTCTCCTAGTGCTACATTTTAGCAGATGCATTTTTAAATGTAACTTGTCAGAATAGCAAGAGAACAGGGTTCCTGGGCTAAGTAGGAAAGATTGTTTCGTTTTCAAGGCATCAACTGCCATCAGGGAAATAGAATTTAGGGACAAATTGAGTTTAACCCTAAGCTTTGACTCCAAGGGATGAATGTGACTCTAATTTCCTCTACTATTTTCCTTCTGCTATGACGAATTCTTGGCCAGGTCTTTAAATTGTCACCATTTGGAGAAATGCTGCGTGCCAGCAATCACTAGAAAATATCCACACCAGCCTCCCCACTTATCATGACTGAGCCCCTATTTCTTCCTGTGGACCACGGTCTGGTCTTCTTGCCGTCAACCCTCTTCTCTGGATAAGAGAAAAAAAGTCTGTGCTGCTGTAGCTCAGACCTGTTCTTCCCAACTGGTTGCAGTAAGGGGGCTCCGAGCCGAGCGCCTCCAAAAGCAACTTCCTCCCCAAAGAGCCTCGGCTCAGACTCTGCTAAAGAAGCAGTTCGCAGCTTAGCACATCCCACTTGCCTTCTGCTTCCTCTTAAGGAAGGGCTGCAAGGCCCACTGTGCAAACCAGGAGAGTTCCCCTCTCTCGGTCACTCAATGTCCCCTCCCCTGACATTGCTGAGGGATGTCTTTGAAAAATCCCATCTCCCAGTCAGCCAGCCAGTGTGTTTTAAAAGCTTCTAAAGTTCAGTTTGTGGCTGATTGCTCTTGGTCTTCTGGGTGACAGCCACTGACATCTTAAAAGAGATAATTACAGTGAGAGTCACTGAGCGAATAAAAGGGAGGCAGCATAAAAGACACCAGAGCCAATGACACCCTCCTTACTCAATGTGTTTCTTTGGTTGGAGACTAAAGTGTTGCCCTGTCTCTGCCTGCAGAAGGGAATTTCTTAGAGACCGAATATATTCTTATTTCCAAAAATAAGTTGGAAATTGGATGTATATAGCTTGGCTCGCAGGACTGATTGCTGCAGCAGACAAGAATGGTTGCCTCTCCAACAGTGTCAAGACGGGGAAGAGGTCTGCGATTCGGAGCCACCCCAGGCTAGCGAGTTCGCTGCCCAGAGTTGCATGGTGCTGGCAGAAGGCAAGAGACTCCTGGGTCAGAGACAAAGGACTTTCTCATTCACAACAGAGCAGGCCGTAGGAGCTTCAGGTTCACGTTGCTTCTTGTTACCCCCTTCTCCCCAAATAAGGGGCAACCATGGAGCAGTCAGGTAGATACTACTAGGTTTCTTCACAGGTGAAGACGCCTGAACTCACAGACTCCAATCTGTTAAAAGATTTGCTAGCAAACCTTTCATTTTTGCCCTGGATAGAGGCAATGTCTTTATTATTCTGTCCAGAGAAAGACACTCTGTTTTTCAAGGCTCTTAGCTATCCTTCTAAAGGTAGGAACAAAGCTGTCAAATGTTCTTGCTCCAAAGAATAATGTGGGAAGCCCATGAAGCATTTTCTCCCAGCAATTTAGTTACCTTCACCTTCTCCCTTGTGAGTTAAGCTGATTTTGCTCAGGAATCTGTGTGTCTCCAGAACATTACGGTTCAAGTAAGGACAGCCATATCCCAGAGCCAGAGAGCAAATGCAGATTTACCTAAGACAAACGTGGAAATTCCAAGCTCTTTACCAGTAATCCATTTAGGATAAATCAGACATGACTGGCGTCTTGGCTCATAAGATACCTAAGGAAAAGACAGTCCCTCTTCTTCCCTTTGATGTTGGGTGGGAATTTGTGGTTCCTATGTTGCCAGAGCCATCTCACATACATCAGACACACTGCAGAGAACAGAGCATGTAGTGGGATGATCCTTGATCCTTGGTGACAGTGTCTGATTCCAAAATTGTTCCTGGATCCATTTTCTCTAGGACTTCTTACATGAGGTATTCCTAATTGTTTAAGTCACTTTTATTGCAACTGCAAGCATCTTAACTGATGTGGGACCTGGAACTGTTATCAGTTTATCTGAACTCTAGTCTCAGCTGTGTCTTTTCTTTTTCGGGCCCCAGCTGACCAGTCTCCAAAATGAGGACTATATATTTAGTTCTCCAAGAGTTGCTGTGTGCAAAACTGGTCTGCAACCACTGAATTAGATTACTTATAATGTCTTTCAACTTACAACATCCTATAATCTAATTTCCAAGAGAGTCTTAGAGAAATAGCAATGAAATACAGTGAGTCTTCATGGAGGTTTTAGATACTGAATGATTACAGGGAGAGAAGGGAAATATTGAAGAAAAAAATGCTCAGTGTGGCATATCGGCATCAGAAAAGAATACATATGGCAGAAATACAGATGAGTAATGTTGGATCCTGACTTCATCTGAGTGGTTTACAACAACGAATAGGACAAAGCCATGGACAGAACCACGGACTGCAAATTTTTCCTTTTTTCAAGTATAATTCCAGCAGGTGGCACTATTTGCTCTCATTCTATCTTGTCACATTTCTTTGAACAAATGACTCCAGGATGAATGCCTTGAGTGGTACATTTAACAATTGACCAGAATAGCAGACTTTTTGGCACCAAGTTCTCCCAGCAGGAGAGGTAATATTTAGACATTACACCGAAAGTATCAGCTAGAGGTAGCAGAGAAGTTTGGCCATTCAACAGAGATTAGTAATGAAAAAAGACAAAGGAAAGTATGTGCAGTGAGTGGGATGAGCATACCAGCTCTCACTGTTGCAGTATTGCTAATGATTTACTTCTCCATTTACACAGCGAACTTCAAGGAGTGATCCTTTCCAAAGGGCTCTTCCACACAACAAAATCTGACCCACACAACAAAATCAGTCATTGGTAGAACAGATATTTCTACCTTCCTCTAGGGTGATGAGTATAATGAATATTTTTTCTTTCGTTTTTCCAAAAGGGAGAAGTTTATATCAAAAGACAAAAGAATTTATATGCAGGTACATCAAAGACTTAGTGGAAAATAGAATTAGGGCTGGTACTATGGTGTAGCAGCACTGCCTGCAGTGCTGGCATTCCATATGGGCACTTGTTCGAGTCCCAGCTGCTCCACTTTGAATCCAGCTCTCTGTCATGGCCTAGGAAAGCAAGAAGATGCTCCAAGACCTTGGGCCCCTGCACCTGCATGTGAGACCCAGAAGAAGCTCCTGGTTCCTGGCTTCAGATTGGCCAGCTCCGGCATTGTGGCCATTTGGGGAGTGAACCAGTAGATGGAAGATTTCTCTCTCTATCTGCCTCTCTATAATTCTGCCTTTCAAATACATAAGTAAATCTTTTTAAAGAAATAAAATAGAATTCA